GGAGTTAAAATACTTACTGATGAATATCAAAGACTGCAGCATTTAGTATGGCTTGTACCTCAATATAGAGAAAACAAAAATCCCCAGCACTGGAGCAAAAAACAACATTCACATAAATAGAAAAAAGATTGAAGTTATCAAAGACTTCATTTTGATTGAATCAACCATCAACCCACGTGGAAGCATCAGTCAAATAATCACACAATGTATTGCATTAGGTAAATTTGTTGCACAAAACCTCTTTAAAATGTTGAAGAGCCAACTCGTCATTTTGAGGACTAAGGTGTGCTTGGCACAAGCCATGGTCTTTTCAATACTAGGCACGTTGGACAGTGACTGCAGAATTGATGCATTTGAGTTATGGTGTTGGAGGAGAATATTAAATGTACCATAGACTGCCAAAAGTACAAACCAATCTTTGTTGGAGGAAGAACAACCAGAATGCTCCTTGAAGCCAGGATGGCCAGCCTTTGTCTCTCATACTTTGGACATATTATCAGAAGGATATGATTGACAAGGTGGGATTTCTGAGAAAAGGAGGAAGACCCCCCAATGAGTGGATTGGCACAGTGGCAGCAGCAATGGACTCAAACATAGCAACAATTCTGAGGTTGGCGAAGGACTGGGCATTGTTTTGTTCTGTTGTGCATAGGGTCACTTTGAGTTAGTACCAACACAATGGCACCTAACAACAACGACAAGACATAAAAATCTATTAGATTTAAAAATGAACCTTTCCTATTTACGTCAATTGCCTAAATTTCTTATTTGTAAAACTAGTACAATGACAATTAGTAATTTAGAATGCACTTTAAATATGTGCCAAGCATTAACCTAAATACATGACATACATTATCTTATTATCATTGCCCTGAACTACTTCTTAGGTATTTTGTATTTTAATTTTATTTTATTATTCCCAAATGAGGATACTGAGATTTAGTGATGAAACTGATACAACTCCTCCCATCCTTTGGCTCTATGTCCTTGGTTCATTTATCTGTTCTCTCATTTCATCATATGCTTCTCCTCAATATACATCTGCCTACATAAGTGCACAGTTGTTCTCTAGAGAAGGTTTTCTTTATTACTTTTTTTTTTTTTTTTTACAAGCAGTGGGAGAACTACTAATATGAGTCAGTTCAATATCTTCCATTTCATCAAATTGTGGATAACCAAGCACAAATTCATGAAATGTAGACCAAATATTAGAGACATATCATACTTCAGAAAATATTTGCTTTAGCTTTACCATGAATCTTGTGAAAAATTCAAAACCCATTCCTAGATCATTATCTTCAGATGGCATAGTAGCTTAAACTGAAATGTAGTGAGATTCCACACTGTGAGGCTTTCCCTCCACCCTGTGCCTCATCTTGTTTTCTGAGCTCAACAACAAAAACACTATTTGCTTCACAGTTTCAGAGCATCTCATTGAGCAGCACATCTAGTTTCTAGCAACAACTTCAAGCAGTATGGTCGAATTGTTGTTGTTGTTAAGTACTGTAAGTCAATTCCAACTCATAGTAACCTTGTATAGGGCTTCCAAGGAATGGCTGGTGAGCTTGAACTACTGCCTTTTTGGCTCAAATGATCTTGCAGCCTGGTGCATTAACCGGCAGAGCTGCATGGATCCATGTAAAACAGCTCCGAGTTCAAGTCACACAAATTAAACCTTTACTCAATTTTTTCACCAGCTGTGTGGCCTTAAAAAAGTTACTTAGACTTTCTAATCCTCAGTCTTTTTATATACAAATAGCAGTACTACTTATATACAGTTAAGGAGCTCTGGTAGCGTAGTGGTTACGAATCGGGCTGCGAACCTTAAGGTCAGCTGTTCGAAACTACCAGCCGCTCCGCGGGAGAAAGATGAGGCTTGTAGTATATATAAAGTTGTTGTTGTTGTTAAGTGCCATTGAGTCAATTCCTATCCTGTGTAGGGTTTTGGAGGAGTATCTAGTGAGTTTGAACCTCCAGCCTTGCAGTTCCAATGGCTTTGCACTCTGGAGCATTAGCCCACAATGCCACATCAGGACTCCATATATAAAGTTGTTGTTGTTGTTAAGTGCTGTTGAGTTGATCCCGACCCATAGAAACCCTCCATAGAGTTTCCAAGGAGCAGCTGGTGAGCTTGAACCACTGACCTTATAGTTCAAATGACTTTGCAGTCTGAGGCATTAGCCCACAGCACCACACCAGGACTCCAAGCAGTATGAGTTAAATCAATACTTGACCTTACCGTATGACTCAATCAATATGTTGAATGAGATTTTTTTGTTTTATTATTATTATTTTTTTTTTATTTAAGGTTTTGATTGTTGATTGAGTAAAAGTTTATAGGGCAGATCATCAGTTTTACATTCAACAAATCATATACCTGTTTCATTACATTGATTATAATCCCCTCCATATACCATCAGTTACCAGAGTTTCTCTCTAGTCATTTTAGCTTTTTTTTTTTTAAATAAACACTAAGGCATATATAATAACTTACACCACCAAAGGGGACATTCTACAAGTCTGCCTCCTGTTTGCCATCTCTTAGTCCCTTACTTCCCATGAATCTAGAGTCCACAGCTGCTCCCTTTCTCCTGTCCCCATCTCTGCCTCCATTTCTGGTGTCACGGCTTCTCTGGATAAGATCTCTCATTCTGCTTGAGCTCTTCTCCCTTGATGATCCTAGGGCCCTTTGTTTCTGGCCTGTCTTGAATGAGTTTTTAAAGCCTTAATTTTGATATGGTTTCCCAGTCTTTATTATATATATAGAACCATTTTGGTATATGTGTGAAATATTTGTGACACAATCTTAATTATCCTTTATACTAAGTAAATAGTGGAAAAATAATTGAATTGTTTGAAGAGTTTGTATTTTATTATAAGTATAACCAACAGAGTGTGAGGCATAATTTTCTTTTCTTTAATGTAAAATTTTGCACAGCTGATAAATTATGCTTCTTCAGTAATGAATTTTTAAAATATATAGTATTTGTTAGTACAAATGGGAAGTGTATATAAAACACTAAGAAAGATATGCATGGTAACAAATATCAGCATACAACCTAAATGCAATTATATTGGATTCTGGAAGTTATCATGCCTACCTTCAATGCCCAGTTAAACTGTTCATACCATTCTTTTATCTAAACTTCCTATAAACCCAAATATCCCACTGCCATTGAGTCAATTCCAACTCATAATGACCTTTTATATGGTTTCTGAGGCTTAGATCTTTACAGGAGCAGAAAGACTCATTCTTTCTTTAGGAGGTGACTGAAGGGTTTGAACTGTCAACTTTGCAGTTAACAGTTCAGTGCTTATCCTACGATGCCACCAGGGCGTAGAACACAAACATAGAAGATCACCAAAACCATTGTATTTAAGAATTTTCCAGTCTTTTGATTTTGGTTCCTGTACATCTCAGGATAAATCTGATTGGCATTATACCACCAGTAGTGGTAGCGTAGTGGTTACGAATCGGGCTGCGAACCTTAAGGCCAGCAGTTCGAAACTACCAGCAGCTCTGCGGGAGAAAGATGAGGCGTTCTGCTCCCGTAAGGATTTACAGCCTCGGAAACCCTGTACAGGGTCGCTATGGGTTTGATCCTACTCGATGGCACTTAACAACAACAACAAGTTACAATCTAAGAACATAAAGTGTTTCAATAGAAGTAAAGGAAATTCAGAAAGTTGCAAGAGTTTTAGGAAAAAAAAATATTTTATGATGTGATAAATCTCAACACTTTTCTGTAATAGTAAGAGGTCACTTTATAAATATTTTACAAATGTGCCAGATAATTAATGAATGGGTTTATTTACAGAATGACAACAGTTAAAAATGAGTTGGATTTAGGCTTCATATAAAGATAAATAATTTTGTGGGGAAAAAGTAATATCTTAAACAGAATATGAGAACATTTAGAACTTTATTTTATTTTAGATAAGCATAATTAAATGGTTCTTCATTGTTTCTGTTTAAAAGAATCCAAGTTTGAAAAATGTTTTTGAAAACAGAACCAGAGGCTGATGATTTGCCTTTTAGTTATGGGGACAACCCACAGAAGCTAGCCAAATATGGCATCTGATCTTCACCACAAAATGCATCTGCTAACTTTGTGTCATAGATAGTGTACTCCAAAATTTCGTTAAATGTTGAGTTTTCACTATGTGTTGATAGACAAGCTGGAAGAGTAAATAAAAAAATAATAATTTTACTGTCACATTAAGAATGAAATAGATTCAACAAAAATATTTCAAAATCAGCTGAATAGTGTAAAGTAATTTCTAGCAAGAAAAAGTTTATCATTTTGAGGTATAAATGGAAGATTGTTCTCCCCCTACAAACAAGTATTACTTAGCACACAAAAGTACACTTATAGACCTCATGAATCTAGTCAGCATGTTTGATATTAATGTGAAGAGTCATCACAAGGAATGCCTCTTTATCACTGTTTTGTCAATTGGCCAGATATTCCATGCCTTTGGATATTTTCCGAATCTGTTTTATGCTATTTTAATATAATTTCACAGAAGCCAGAAATGCCTCTTTTGTGGAGTTCAATTATATTGTTGTATTCTACATTGTTGAATCAGCACCTTCAAAATAGAATAAGAGCATGACACACTCTTATTTTGCAGTATCACTAGGAAGAAGACTGATTTCCAGTACATAAATGCAAATATCTTTTCTGTAAAAATTGTTAAATCGCTGGTCTTATGCATTCAGAAATTTTAGTTTAATACAAGGCATTCTTAAATCTTTTTCAGTAATGCAGTTGTTGTTGTAGCTAAGTGTCATCTAATCGGTTATGACATATAGTGACTTTGTTTAAGGTTTCCTAATCGGTTATGACATATAGTGACTTTGTTTAGTGGGTTTGAACTAGCTGTGGTTAGCAGTCCATTAATGCAGCATATAGCTAACTATTATTAAATGTGCCATTATTTGCGGTACAGATAAATGCTAAGACTTGATTTTTTTTTTTTTTTTTTTTTCCTTCTAGGATCTCCTACCCTGACTGGGACTGGAATAATCAACGTCATAGTAGATGACATCAATGATAATGTCCCCACTTTTGCCAGTAAAATGTATTTCACAACAATTTCTGAAGATGCCCCAACTGGAACAGATGTTTTACTGGTGAATGCCTCAGATGCTGATGCCTCAACAAATGCTGTTATCAGGTCAATACATTTTCACTTGAAAAAGATAGTTATTTTCTCATTAAGTATTCATCTTTGAACTATATGAATATAATTCTGAATATTATTGGAATGGTTGTTGTTGTTAGGTGCCCTGGAGTAGGTTCTGACTCCTAGTGACCATATCCACAACAGAAGGAAACACTGTCCAGATTATTGGAATAGGTATAATCATAAAATTAACATTTATTATGAGAGATATAATGAGGAATTTTTAAAAATGTAAACTACTTTGAAAAATGCCTGGAAAAAGTACTCAGTACATAGCAATCCTTGTTGCTCGAATCCACGCAAACTATGTAGTACTCTCAACAGATAGATGCCTTTAAGTGGATTCTGACTCATGGTAACCTTATGTACTAGTGAAGAAAACATTGCCTAGTTTGGTGCCATTCTCGAGATCACAAGCATGTGAGAGCCCATCTTGAAGATGCACTGTCAATGCATCTCCCAGAAGTTGTTCATCATCCTCTTTGACTTCTACTTCAACTACCTAGCATGATGTCCTCTGACAATTGATCTCTCAAATAAAACCAAACTCAAACCCTCAGCTGTTGATTTCATCTCAGAGCATCCATATAGTACAGAGTGGAACTGTCCTATCAGGTTTCCAAGACTGTACATTTTTATAGAAGCAGACTGCCACACCTTTCTCCCACATAGCTGGTGGTAGTTTGCAGGCAAGCTCTTCAGCAGTGTGCCACTAGAACTTCTTGTCCAAAGTAAGAGAGCCTGAAAATGATCTATTATGAAAATAGCCATAAGACTTTAATTAGATAATTTCTAGACATACATAAATGGGCCTTTCTTCTTAGTCTATTAGTTTGGAAGCTCTACTGAAATCTGCTTATCATGGAACACTCTGCTCTCATTTAAAATATGGTAATATATAGCTTCTGGAATCACAGTAGCACAAACTGTCAAATTGTGGTAGGTAACACTTTACTTGTCATCTATTGTTGTTAAGTGCCATCGAGTCAGTTCTGACTCATAGCAACCCTGTCAGTGGTTTTCAAGGAGTGACTAGTAGTTTTGAACTGTCAACCTTGTGGTTAGCTTACAGTTAGCAGTCCAGTGTTTATTATCCATACCAAGACTCCCCTATCATCTATTGTTCTTAAGTGCTATGGAGTCAGTTTCAATCCATATCAGCCCTGCATAGAGTTTCTAGGGACTTAAATCTTTTGGGTAGCAGAAAGCCTATCTTTCTTTCTCCCATGGACCTGCTGGCAGGCTCGAGCCACACATATTGTAGTTCACAGTCCAGTGCTTATCATAAGGTGCCATTGTGCTCTCTTGTCATCTATTGTTGTTGTTGTTAAGTGCCATCGAGTAGGTTCTGACTCATGGTGACCCTTTATAGACTTTCCCAGGAGCAGCTGGTGAATTTGAACCACTGACCTTACAGTTCAAACTGACCTTTCAGTCCAGTGCATTTTCCCACAGAACTGCAACATTTATGACAATAATTTTGAAGTAATGTCCTTACCAGTTAAAATTGTTTCACTGTCATGTAGATGAAACTTTCTCTAAAGACAGCATAACCAATACTGTCTTTCCATAGCAGGACAGTAACCTTGTTTGAGCTGTTTCAACTCTTGACTCTGAAACAGAATATTGATAAAAATAGATCCAATCCAGTTGCTAGAAGAAAATGTTATGATGATATATTGTTTTCTTCTAGTATATGTTAGACAAAAATTCATTGCAAAATGTCATCCTATATTTATGAACTATGATGATGAATGCAAAATTAATCTAAAAAGTCCTGTTCATATTTCAGAGTGCTTGCAAAGTTATACTGGTCAGTTTGATCTGGTTGTTTTGATTTGATAGCTTATATATGGGTTGTAGTGTTGATTGAATTTTCTTCTGCCTTTACTATCAGAAAATTAAATTTATACTTTTATATTGACCAAAATATATAAAACTCCTGTATAAAATCTTCAAGTGACTATACTTGCTATTCATACAATCAAATTAAAGAAAAATTGAATTTTGTCTTTAGTTTGTGAAATATATATATCTACATATGTATATATCTATATATAGTCCCTATAAATTAAGATAAGGCAGACAATTATCACAGCTTGACACTGAAAAATATTTTCATAGATAAAGTAAGTAGCTATGTCATTTTAAATCCTATTTACTTAGTCGGATAGATTCTTAATGAAATACATTATTATTTTATATTAGATGTTAATTATTTCTTGCTATTCATGGAATCTGGGAGAAAAACTCAATCTATCTTCCTACTAACTGAGCTGTTATTTTATTTTTTATAGTCTGTTTAAAAGTCAGATATTAAATTCACCTATTTGACTAGTTGGTGGGCTCTTCAGAGACATAAGACTTTGTGTTTCTTATAATTTGTCAATTTCTCACATGCCGTAGCATGATCTTATTAACTATGACAACCCAACAACCACTTAGTTACAATTTTAACTCTGCCCATTTGATCTACTTATACATTTTAATTGATTATGCACTTCACCTTTATATTGATATTTTATTTAATTTTAATATGTTACATTTTAATAAACCAGACAGCTTTAACTACTAGTCTCCATCTACCTTATTCATAAATGTGTCTCCCAAACAGAGTAATTTATAATTCTTTTTGTCACAATACTGGAGAAAGTTACAAAAAAGTATTTACAGAATCAACATTGAAAGCCAAATTCTTTAATCTGTCTGTTTAATCCAGCCAGTATCATCTCATTTAGTCCAAATCTTTAATTCAGTAATTATGGCCTTTCTATCTTGAATATCATCTAAATATCCCTCTCTTCTGAATAATTTCTTTATCTTTATGGAATTCTCAATATACTTGGTATTGGATTTGGATTATTTTATTTACCTACTGAAACTTGATTGTTGTTGCTAAATTTTCATCGAATCCGTTCTGACTCAAAGTGACCCTCTGGGGTGTGACTGGTGGTTTTGAACTGCCAGCCTTGCAATGAACAATCTTATGGTGTTTATCCGATGGTGCAACACCACGACTTTCACACTTTGGTAATGTCATTTTGGTGTCTCTGAGTCTAAGCATCAGAATAATGGAGATAAAAGTCTTACTTTATGGCTTTGTGAGAACTGATTATTTATTGTCTTCCTACTATGTACCAGGCAGTATAGATGACATACTTTTACTCTTTTGGCTTTTGTTACCAAATTCAGTGAAAATGTGGCTTATCTTCATATTTATTACCTCCACATATGTTTTACCCCTGAAGATCATTCAACTGATTTTCTCTTTTCTTGCTTTATTAAAAACTGATACTATCAGAAGATTCTACTGAAATTTGTCAACTCCAGTGACTTGAATCCTTATTCTCATCTTTTACAACATTTTCCTAATAGGTCATCCTCTACCTTGTCTTCTTGTTGTTGTTAAGTGTCTTAGCTTTGGTTCTGACTCATAGCAACCCTGTATAGAGTTAGCGAGGAACAACTATTGAGTTTGAACTGCCAACCTTTTGGTTAGTAGTCCAGTGCTTATCCTACTGTGCCACACCAAGACTCCTTAACTAGTTTGTTTCTTACTAAGTGTCTTAGTCACTGCTATTTCTTATTTTTCATCTTTCATCCTTGACCAAAACCTCTAATAGCTCTTCAATATCTCCTCTTTCTCTTCCCACAAAATAATTTTAACATTTCCCACAGTATTCTTTCCTAGTGCTCTCTCCCTCCCTTCCTCCCTTCCTCATGTCCTCTTTCTTTCCTTCCCTCCTTCCTTCATTGCTTCTTTCCTTCCTTCCTTCCTTCCATATGAGATAACAAACTTTTGTAGGAGCAGACAACCTCATCTTTCCATGGGAGCTTCTGGTGGGTTTGAATTGCTGGCCTTGCAATTAACAGCCCAACACCTAACCCACAGCATCACCAGAACTCCTTAGTAGATCTCAGGGAGATGCAAAATAAAGTTAGATATATCAAGTAGAGTTGTATTAAGCTTTGTGAATATAGCTATGATTGGTTTAGACCTCAGATAAAAGTCATCCTAGCTTATTCTATGGACTTGAAACAGCATCTTTGGGATGCCACCTCAGACATAAAAATCAGAAATATATACAGGAGGCCTGGTGGCTCTGTCAGATAAGCACTGGACAACTAACTGTAATGTTGGCAGTTCAAACACACCAGCTCTGTAGAAGAAAGCCAGTTTTTCTGCTTCCATAAAGATTTGAAGCTTGGGAACCCTCCCTATCCAAGGTTACTGTGAGTCAGAACAGAGTTGATAGAAGTGAGTTTAGTTTTTTTTCTTTTGTTTTGCTTTATATACAGCTAGTGGCAAAATTTTTTCTTCATAAAGAAGAGAGAATGTATGCTCCATGGAAACTTCTGCCCGTTGAACAATCTGGTTAACATCAAAATATCCATGGAGATATCCTACCTCTTGACAACAAGAAAACAACATACCCATATGAGGAATGATGAATGAGAGAACTAGTAACTAAGAATATCTTTGTATAAATAATCAGTTCTTCCACTTGTTCTGGATAGTTAGTATATGTCAAATATAGTGTTGTGTATTTAGAGAATAAAATCTCTGGCTGCTCTCTTCTGGATTGTTGTGGTGTACAATAGAAAAATAATTTAGGCTTATGTAACAGATTTTAATTTTTGATCCCAGCTACTAACCCCAGTATTAAAGAAGGGTCAGTCCTGCTTTATGTTTTCAGATTAATTTATTTAAAGCAGCACACCCTTCTAGAAATATTTGAAGAACTTGAAAAAAAAAAAAATATATATATATACATATATTCAATGGAGTCCTTGTGTGGCACTTTGGGTTAATGCACTAGACTGCAAAGTTGGTTTTAACTGCAAGGTTGCTGATTCAAGCTCACCAGCTGCTTCTCAGAAACACTATTCAGGGTTGCTATGGGTCAGAACTGACTTGACGGCACTTAAGAACAACAACAATTATCCACACTCTGGCTGTAGAATTTACTATAATTTAACTTTTAGAAAAGACAAATACATCATTCTTCAACATAGTCTCCTTGCTTTTCAATACACTTCAATACATCTGTCAACAAGATTTTGTTTTATTAAAAAATATTTTAGGATGAATTGTGATCCACAAATTCACCACTATCTTCACTTCATTAGAAGTGAATCTTTTATCCTTAAAGGGTTGCAGGTGAAAATCTAATGAACCAAGATCAGGTCTATAGGGAGGATGTTTTAACACCTCAAAATAAAGTTTTTGCAGAGTGTCACCAGTGTGTGCAGAGGTATGCGGATGTGCATTGTCACGTAAGATCACAATGCCATTGAAGAGCAGTCCTCTGCATTTAATCCATAGTTTAGGCTTCAGCTCTTCAGTGAGCATCTCACTGTAATGAGCACTGTTGATTGTTGAAGTTTTTCCTGATAGTGTTCCAATACCGGCCCTTGGGAGTCCCAGAAAACTGTAAGCATCAATTTTCCAGCTGATGGTTGACTATTAAACTTTTTCTTGGTCAGCGGCTGAGGATGTTTTCATTCCATACTCTGCTGTTTACTCTTAGTCCTTTGAGGACAAAGTGAAGACAGCAGGGCATTTGTAGCTCGCAGCTCAGCTTAAAACATTGTTTAATAAGGAAATAAGCAAAAGCTTATTGACAAATGGACAATATGTATTAAAAAACAAGGAGATTGTGTCAAAAGATGATGTATTTGTCTTTTCTAAAAGTTGTTTAAGATAAATTCTACAGTCAGAGTATAACTGATTTTCAACTCACCTTCATACATTCAAAGTCCCAAAATAAATCCAGCAGAATATGCTGTTTTGAAAAATATAGGAGTCCTGGTGTGTCACTGTGGGTTAATGTTTTTGATTGCAAGTTCGGTTTGAACTGCAGTGTTGATGGTTCAAGTTCACCAGCTGCTCCTTGGAGACCCTATACAGGGTCTGTATGTGTCAGAACTGACTTGGTGTCACTTAATAAATGCCACACACACACACGCACATATAGAGATCCTGGTGTAGTGTAGGATAAGCATTGGACATCTAAATGCAATGTTGGCAGTTCAAATCCACATGCTGCTCCTTGAAAAACTTATAGAAGGTTGCTATGAGTCAGAACTGACTTGAAGGCACTTAACAACAACAAATAATATGAGAGACCCAAAAGTCTTGAATTGACCTGCTTGAGTTCATTGGAAAAGTCTATTTTTTTTAATATAATGCTTATTTTATATTAAAAATATTTATCTTCTAATAATATATTTGTGTTTGGTCTTAGTTGTGATTTTTTTCTTTACATTTTTGACTCCTTTTTAAAATTACAATAAGAAGATATTTATAATATTAAAGCTGTAAGAAATATGTTGCTCTCTCTTCTTTCCTTTAGTTATAGGATACTTGGAGGAAACTCTCAGTTCACCATCAACCCATCCACAGGACAGATCATAACCAGTTCACTCCTAGACAGGGAAACCAAAGAGAATTACACGTTAGTAGTAGTCTCCAGTGATGCAGGATCCCCGGAATCTCTTTCCAGTTCTGCCAGTGTGCTCGTCACTGTGACTGATGTCAATGATAACCCACCACGATTTCAGCATCATCCATATGTCACACACATCCCATCTCCTGCTCCTCCAGGTAATCAATCCATCTCAGAGGCTACACAGAGAAAGTATAATGGGGTATTTTTTAGTGAGTATATTTTACATATACATCTCTGATATAACGTAAATTTTCAAATCCTCTTAAATGCAGCATGTTTTGTCTAATTGAGGGGACACTGAATCCTGTAAATCAATTCTTTTTTTCCCATACCAGTTTTGTTTAGTATTTAAAAATTATCAAATTTTCCAAATCATCTTTCTTAACATTACTTGAATATTGCTGAATGATTGAAATATGAGAAAATATCACTTCATAGCATAGAAGAGCACTGCCCTGAAGTATAAACTGTGTGCAATTCCCCTGAGATGAGGACACTTTCTCTTTTTTACATGCCATTCCTTCATCACCTGAAACATTGTCAGATAAAAATGATTCTAAAATATCTGTCGATGAAAAATTAATATTTTACTTCATGTGGTTCATTTACCCTATGATTCATATGTAGGTATTCAGATATGTCTCATGAATGAATTATTCTAGTACTTATTGTTTTCCTTCTCAGATAGTGAAATAAAATTTTTCCCATTAATAAATTTATGAAGTCATTTAAAAGCCACTTACATGTTGGCAATAGGTATTTATCGTTCTATACCTCTTTTAGAATCAGTTAGTTGGTTTCATTTGTGTATTTGAAAGGAATAGTATACACTTTTAAGAACTTCACAGATATCTGCCATTTGTAATTTTGAGTTGTTTTCAAACTGGACAAAAAAATACAAATATAACTTATAATTTGATATTTGCTTTCAAATATTTTTTAATTAGCAGGAAACATGTATCCCATGTTATTTCTCTGATGATCTTTGTTGTTGTTGTTGCTAAGTGCTGCTGAGTCAGTTCTGACTCACAGTGGCCCTATATAGGGTTTCCAAGGAGTAGATGGTGGGCTTGAACCACCAACCTTATGGTTTGTAGTCCAGTGCTGATCCTGTCATGCCTTTGGACATTAAACAGTGCAAACGTCTAATTGATTTCAAGTTAAATTATAAAAGCCATAAATTCATGTGCCAAGTTTTAATCAAAAGGCAATTTAAATATCAAGGTCATAAAGGAGAGCTGTTAACTGAAGTGATGCTGATTCTATCTTATGTGCTGTGGTACAATATAGCATTCCCTATGCAAAGAGAGTTGTCAGGCTTCAGTAACTTTGCCTCATTAGACTTACTACAATTTAGTCAGTATCACCAGCCTTTTTTTTTTTTTTTTTTTTTGGTTTTTCACTTTTCCCACAACCTATTCTGTTAGGGTGGTAGTGCAGCTTTGGGAAGGGTTTCTGAATGAATATGTTGAAAACATGTCCTTATGGCAGCTTTTCTGCACATTTCTACTACAATCTGTCACATTGGCGCTTATTCCAAGCACTAACTTTTGGAATCCAAATTTGATTCATTTTTCCTCAGTTCTTATTTTTTATTACTTTACAGTTGTTTGAATTAATTGAAGTATGTGAAGGAGTTTCAAAAAGTTTGTGGAAAATAGAATTAAAAGACAATAGATTTTTCCAACTATTTGAAGCTCCCTCCTATATCCATATATGTATATGTGCATGTGGTTAGAGATAGATATGATTTATGTTTAAGCAATAATATCTCAGAGATAAAAGAATTATGCCACAAAATAGTGAGTATCAGTTACCAACCCTAGTTACTAACTACAATAGCAAGATGGATATATGTTTATATATATGGTAATTCAAAAATGTTTTAAGACATAATACAGTTTTTTTTTTTGTTTTTGTTTTTTATTGGATAGAAGCATAGGTCTTTGCAGAAATCACATACTATACATTTCTGGAAATATTATATATACAGATTTTTCTCTTAGGAACAATGACTTGGCTGATTGGCTATGTCTCTTCCTTTGCACATTTCTCAAAGGCATAGTGAAAAATATTAAATTCAACAGACTGTATGTGTTCTTGTGAAAAAAAAAGCAGGCCAGTCTTTGAAGATTATTGTTAGGTGAATTTGAGCTGGCAATCTAAGAGAAAATATAGGAGATATTGTTATCCAAATAATTTATGAGAAAATACAGTTGCATCAGGCAGCAATGCTGTGTTTTGTATGTATCAACATACTACTAAATATTTTATTTGGCTTCTGTGTGATAATAATTACAAACTCTGTCTCTTATAGGTTCCTTTGTCTTTGCGGTTACAGTCACAGATGCTGATATTGGAGCCAATTCTGAACTACATTATTCTCTTTCGGGGAGAAACTCTGAAAAATTTCACATTGATCCACTGAGGGGAGCTATCATGGCCACTGGACCACTTAATGGAGCTTCAGAAGTGACATTTTCTGTACATGTAAAAGATGGTGGCTCATTTCCAAAGGCAGATTCTACAACAGTGACTGTTCGATTTGCAAACAAGGCAGATTTCCCTAAAGTCAGAGCAAAAGAACAAACATTTATGTTCCCTGAAAACCAACCAGTAGGCACTCATATCACCACTATTACGGGAACCTCTTCCAGAGGAGAACCTTTGTCCTATTATATTGCAAGTGGAAATCTTGGCAATACATTCCAAATCGATCAATTAACAGGACAGGTGTCTATCAGTCAACCTTTGGATTTTGAAAAGATACAAAAATATATTGTATGGATAGAGGCCAGAGATGGAGGTTTTCCTCCTTTCTCCTCTTATGAGAAACTTGACATAACTGTGTTGGATGTCAATGATAATTCCCCAGTTTTTAAGGAAGATCCATTTGTATCAGAAATATTGGAGAACCTATCTCCTCAAAAAATACTTACTGTTTCGGCAATGGACAAGGACAGTGGACCGAATGGACAGTTAGATTATGAAATTATTCTGGGCAACAATGAGAATAGTTTTAGTATTAATCATGCTACTGGTGAAATTAGAAGCATTCGGCCTTTAGACAGGGAAAGGGTTTCTCAGTACATACTCACCATAAAGTCTTCTGACAAAGGCTCTCCTTCGCAGAGTACCTCAGTTAAAGTCATCATTAACATTTTAGATGAAAATGATAATGCCCCTAGGTTTTCTCAAATATTTAGTGCCCATGTTCCTGAAAATTCCCCTTTAGGATATACAGTTACACGTGTTACAACTTCTGATGAAGACACTGGTGCAAATGCAATTAGCAGGTATTCTATAATGGACACAAGCCTTCCATTTACAATTAATCCCAGTACTGGAGATATTGTCATTAGTAGACCTTTAAATAGGGAAGATACCGATCGTTATAGAATCCGAATTTCTGCACATGATTCTGGTTGGACTGTAAGTACCGATGTCACAATATTTGTGACAGATATCAATGACAATGCTCCAAGATTTAGCAGACCCTCTTATTATTTAGATTGTCCTGAACTTATTGAGATTGGTTCCAAAGTGACTCAGGTATCTGCCACAGATCCTGATGAGGGATCAAATGGACAAGTGTTTTACTTCATAAAATCTCAGTCTGAATATTTTAGGATTAATGCAACCACAGGAGAAATTTTTAATAAACAGGTTTTAAAATACCAAAATGTTAGTGGTTTCAGTAATGTGAACATCAACAGGCACAGCTTTATAGTGACTTCTTCAGATCGAGGCAATCCATCTTTATTAAGTGAGACAACAGTCACCATCAATATTGTAGACAGTAATGACAATGCACCTCAGTTTATTAAACTTAAATATTTTACTCCTGTCACCAAAAATGTTAAAGTTGGTACCAAGTTAATCAAACTTACTGCAGTAGATGATAAAGATTTTGGACTGAATTCTGAGGTAGAATATTTCATATCCAATGGAAATCATTTAGGAAAATTTAAACTGGACAATCATACAGGATGGCTATCAGTGGCATCTCCCCTAATTTCTGATTTGAATCAAAACTTTTTGATCATAGTCACTGCAAAGGATAAAGGAAATCCCCCACTTTCATCCCAAGCAACTGTTCAAATTATCGTCACTGAGGAAAACTACCATACACCCGAATTCTCTCAAAGTCACATGAGTGCTACCATCCCTGAAAGCCATAGTATTGGGGCCATTGTCAGAACTGTTTCTGCAAGAGACAGAGATGCAGCTATGAATGGCTTGATTAGGTACGACATTTCGTCAGGAAACGATGGAGGTGTTTTTGCAATCAACTCTTCCACTGGTGTAATAATACTAGCTAAAGCTCTTGATTACGAGCTCTGTCAAAAACATGAAATGACTGTTAGCGCTACAGATGGAGGGTGGGTTGCAAGAACTGGTTACTGCAGTGTAACAGTAAATGTGATAGATGTGAATGACAATACTCCAATATTCACCCCAGATGAATATTTCCCTACTGTATTGGAAAATGCCCCAAGTGGGACAACAGTTATACACCTAAATGCAACAGATGCTGACTCTGGAGCCAATGCTGTGATTGCATACACTATACAGTCATCCGATAGTGATCTCTTTGTCATTGACCCTAATACAGGCATCATCACCACACAAGGTTTCTTGGATTTTGAAACCAAGCAGAGTTACCACCTTACTGTGAAAGCCTTCAACGTTCCTGACGAAGAAAGGTGCAGCTTTGCCACTGTTAACATACAATTAGAAGGGACAAACGAATATGTGCCTCGTTTTGTTTCCAAACTTTACTATTTTGAAATCTCTGAAGCAGCTCCTAAAGGTACTATTGTTGGGGAAGTATTTGCTAGTGACCGTGATTTGGGCATGGATGGAGAGGTTCACTATCTGATTTTTGGTAGCAGTAGGAAGAAAGGTTTCCAGATCAATAAGAAGACAGGCCAAATTTATGTTTCTGGACCTCTTGACAGAGAAAGAGAAGAAAGGGTCTCTTTGAAAGTATTGGCCAAGAATTTTGGCAGCATCAGGGGTGCAGATATAGATGAGGTCATTGTGAATGTCACCGTACTTGATGCTAATGACCCACCCGTTTTCAGTCTAAACATCTACAATGTTCAGATCAGTGAAGGAGTCCCAATTGGAACTCATGTGACCTTTGTCAGTGCCTTTGACTCAGACTCCATCCCCAGCTGGAGCAGGTTTTCTTACTTCATCACATCAGGAAATGAAAATGGTGCCTTTTCCATTAATCCACAGACAGGACAGATCACTGTTACTGCTGAATTAGATCGAGAAACCCTACCCATTTACAATCTCACAGTTTTGGCTGTTGATGCGGGAACCCCCTCTGCTACAGGAAGTGCCTCCTTATTAGTCACTTTGGAAGACATAAATGATAATGGGCCTATGTTGACCATCAGTGAAGGAGAAGTCATGGAAAACAAACGTCCTGGAACTCTGGTGATGACCCTCCAGTCCACTGATCCTGATCTCCCTCCAAATCAAGGTCCCTTTACCTATTATTTGCTAAGCACGGGTCCTGCCACCAATTATTTTAGTCTGAATACTGCTGGTGTTCTGAGTACGACCAGAGAGATTGACAGAGAACAGATTGCAGACTTCTATTTGTCTGTGATTACTAGGGATTCTGGTGTTCCTCAAATGTCTTCAACAGGAACTGTGCATATCACAGTTATCGACCAAAATGACAATCCTTCACAGTCACGGACAGTGGAGATATTTGTCAGTTATTATGGTAACTTGTTTCCTGGTGGGATCTTAGGCTCCGTGAAACCACAGGATCCAGATGTGTTGGACAGCTTCCACTGTTCCTTTAGTTCAGGAGTTACAAGCCTCTTCAATATTCCAGGGGGCACTTGTGATCTGAATTCCCAGGCAAGGTCCACAGATGGCACCTTTGACTTGACTGTCCTTAGTAATGATGGCGTTCACAGTACAGTCACAAGCAACATTCGAGTTTTCTTCGCTGGATTTTCCAACACAACAGTAGATAACAGCATCCTACTTCGTCTCAGTGTTCCAACAGTAAAGGACTTCTTAACTAACAACTACCTTCATTTCCTACGTATTGCCAGTTCACAGCTGACAGGCTTAGGGACTGCTGTGCAACTCTATGGTGCATACGAAGAGAACAATAGAACATATATTTTGGCAGCTGTGAAGCGAAATAATAACCAGTATGTGAATCCCAGTGGTGTAGCCACCTTCTTTGAAAGCATCAAAGATATCCTTTTCAGACAAAGTGGAGTAAAGGTAGAATCTGTGGATCATGATGCATGCATTCATGGTCCATGTCAAAATGGAGGGAGTTGTATCCGAAGGCTAGCTGTGAGCCCTGTATTAAAGAGCTATGAAAGTCTTCCAGTCATCATTGTGGGAAATGAACCTCTGCAGCCTTTCTTATGCAAGTGTCTGCCAGGATATGCTGGTAGCCGGTGTGAAATAGATATAGATGAATGCCTTCCATACCCTTGCCACAATGGTGGGACTTGTCACAATTTAGTAGGAGGATTTTCATGCAGCTGTCCAGATGGCTTTACTGGTAGAGCCTGTGAGAGAGATATCAACGAGTGCCTGCCCAGTCCTTGCAAGAATGGTGCTGTCTGTCAGAATTTTCCAGGAAGCTTCAACTGTGTTTGCAAAACTGGATACACAGGTATGCCTTATTTTTTCTAATATTTTAACCAGGTCTCATGTAATATGAGACCTCCTGGTGTGGCATTGTGGGTTAATGCACTGTGTTGCAAAGTCAGCTTGAACCACAAGGTTGGTGGTTCAAGATCACTAGCCACTCCTCAGAAATCCTATACAGGGTTGCTATGGGTCAGAACTGACTCAACAGCACATAACAACAACATGTAATATTGTAAATGTTATCTTTTTAAAATAAATTTCCATGAAAATGGGTACAATATATTTAAGAATGTGCAGTTGTCAAGATACTTTCCTAAGCGCTCTATAATTTATTTATTTTACTTATTCTCACAAGAACCAGCTGAGGTAGAGATAATTATTTTTCTCTTTGCTGAAGATAGGGAAACTGTAGTAGTGAAAAATTAAGTTTTCTAAGGTTGCTTCTTTGATTTGTTGTGGATACAGGACTCAGTCTTAAACAGTTAATTTTAGGATCTAAACTCTTGGTCAATCGGTGAAATGTTTCTGTCATTATTGGGTGCCATCAGATTAATTTAAATTAATCTAGACCCCAAGTGACAGAGAAGTGCCTTAGGGTTTTCTTGACTGCAATCCTTAGAAAAGTAGATTGCCAGTTATTTTTCCCAGGGAGTCCCTGCATGTGCTAGGCCTACCAACTTTTTAAATGGCATTTGAGTGCTTAACCATTGTTTTATCAAGACTACTTATCTTTGCCTAGTACAAAAAGTATAATATTGTCTTAAAAAAGTGCTGGTATATATATATATAAGTTTACGTTTAAAGCTATGGTATATATAAAGCATAAGGCCTGAGTCGTTTTATTTCCTAAATCACTTAAGAATTACTGGTTTTAATTATTTTATCATTATTTTTGTTATATTGTTCTTTATCATAATAATCATCATTGTTATTAAGACATGGTCTACAAGTGAAGGGAATACAGTAAGAGTTGTAGTTTACAATTGAAATTAAAATTTTTATTTCCTGGTAATTGGGCAGAAAGCACAATACATAGTCTGTCTTGGAAGAAGTACAGCCAGAATCTTCCTTAGGAGTGAGGATGGCTAGAATTTGTCTCTCATATTTGGGAATATTATCAGAAGGGACCTGCCCCTGAAGAAGTGTATCATGCTTAGATAAGTGAAGGGTCACCAAAAAGGACACTGCCCAATAAGATGGACTGACACTGTGGTAGCAACAATGGGCTCAAGCATAACAACAATTGTGAGGATGACACAGGATCAGGCAGTGTTTCTTCCTATTGTGCATAGGGTCATTATGAGTTGGAATCAGCCATATGGCACTTTAAAGCAGGCACCTAATAACAGCAACAACAATAACTATGTATATGTTCTGAGTTCAGGATTTCTAGAGATTCTTCCTTATTCTTTCCAATCTACTTTCCCCAAATTACTTTCTCTGCTTGAAATTCAACAATTGTTGTTGTTCCCGTTAGGTGCCATTGAGTCAATACCAACTCATAGCGACCCTATGCACAACAGAACAAAACACTGACCAGTCCTGGGCCAACCTCACTATTGTTGCCACATTTGAGCCCATGGCCATTTCACTTGTTGGGGGTCTTCCTCTTTTTCTCTGACCCTCCACTTTACCAAACATGATATTCTTCCCCAGTGACAGGTCCTGCCTGATATTATTCCTTATTTACTGTCCAACTTTCACATGCATATGAGGAAATTGAATAGATCATGGCTTGGGTTAAGTGCACCTTAGTCCTCAAACAGACATTTTTGCTTTTCAATGTTTTGAAGAGGTCTTGTGCAGCAGATTTGCCTAATGCAACACGTCATTTGATTTCTTGACTGATGCTTCTATGATTGTTGATGGTTGCTCTGAACAAAATGAAGTCTTTGACAACTTCAGTATTTTCTCCATTTATGTCAATTTTTTTTTTTTTTTTTTTGGTCCATTGGTAAGGATTTTTGTTTTCTTTACATTGAGATGCAACCCATACTGAAGGCTGTATGTAGTCTTTGATCTTCATCAGTAAATATTTTAAGTCCTCTTCATTTTCAGCAAGCAGGATTATATCACCTACAAATTGCACGTTGTTAATGAGTCTTCATCTAATCCTGATGCCATATTTTTCTTCATATAATCCAGCTTCCCAGATTACAAAAAAATGTGTATCATTTAACTATGGCACAATCATTCACACTTAGAATGAATTTACACTTAGTCCTAGAATAAAGATAATATGAGTGAACTGGATAGTCACTATGAAACAGGGAACGTACATAGGCTTGAGAATAGAATTAATCTTATTTACGTTACTTCTCTCTAGTTTGTTTTTTGATTTCATTTTATTTAAATGTAAATTGTGTTACTTTTAGGAATATCTGAGTTATCATAAAATAATAACATTTATCAACTTCCTATTTAAATAATTATAGAAATTATTTAAAGCCTCTCACATTATAGACTTTCTTTCATTTCATTCTTATCCAAACTCTATGATGCAGTTAGTGCTATTAGTCTCCTTTGGGTCCTAGAAGGAGTAAAAAACTCATTGCCATTGAGTTAATTCTGATGCATAGCTTAAGCTATAGAACAAAGTAGAACTGCCATCTTGGGTTTCCAAGGCAAAGTTGGTTTGAACTGCAAGGTCTGTGGACCAAACTCACCAGTTTCTTCCACAAAGTCCTATACAGGGTCTCTATGAGCCAGAACCAACTCAATGGCACTTAACAACAACAACATCAAAATATGCTGTTAGTAAAAGTGAATTGTGAGGTCGCCTCTGTATATCCAGTTGTTGACTTGACTCTGGCTTATGGGAATCACATGTGTGTCAAAACAAATCTGTACTCCACAGGGTTTCCAATATCTTTGACCCTTTGGAAGTAGACTGACAGGTCTTTCTACTGAGGTCCCTGTGCTTGGCTGCAAACTGCCAACATTTTTTGGCAGTCAAGTGAGCTGACTTTTTGTATTACCTAAAGGTATTTTCACTTTCCTTGGTAGTATAAATGATTATATGCTTGGCTACTAATTTAAAGGTTGATGGTACTAATCCACTCAGAGGTACTTGGGAAGAAAAGTCTGGTAATGTATTTCTGAAAGGTTATAGACATGTTTCACAATCCTATGGAACCAATTCTACTATGAAACACATGGGGTCTCCACGAGTTGAAATTGAGTTGATAATAACTAGCTTGGCTTGAAAACAACAATTACAACATAGACAATCATAATACATTTAATTTACATTCAACATTTTCTCACATTTTCTGCCCCTGAGCATGAAGATAACACCTGAATTTCTTTCATTAATTTAAAATCTTGTTGTCGTTCAGCGCAGTTATAGCTGACCCTTGTAGGGTTCCTAAGGAACATCTGGTAGGTTTAAACCACTAACCCTGTGGTTTGCAGTCCAGTGCTCACCCACACTTGAAAAGTCTATGGATTTCTTGGCATCCTATTATGCATTAATTTTCATCTTGAGTGATTCACATTCTTGATAGAATTTACACTTCCTGAAACACATATCCTTCTATCTCTGGTAAATAGTGTATGTCAGCACAATTAATTGATGGATGTCAAAGCAATGAGATCAGCTTGTTCTTTGAAAGAACTGCTATGACAGTTAACATATGTTAATGGAAAAACCTCCTTGCATTCAAAAGGCCTGGATGCCTTTCTTGTGCAAGCCTTATCAGTATAGTATGAATACTTCTGAGCCTCAAGGCACTAGCATGTATTGTTAATTGACTTGCAGAATTAATTAAGTTAATGATCCAAGATTTTGTTTCACAGTGCTTCAACACATCAGATTATTTTACCAGGAGCATATTAGAGTAATTCAAACTGGTATAGTCTCTGATAATCATCAAGCCATTAGCACTGCTGTTTAAGTAGATAGACCTGTGTAGAACAAAACAGAATTTTTTGTGGACATCTATTGAAGTCAAAGAGCATTAACTTTGCAAACCTGAGAAATAAGAACTTACAGGCTTTTGTCTCTAAGTAAAAAATTTAAATCCTTTACAAATTCATGGTCCATAAATAGAAAACATATCCTTTAAAAATGATTTAATTTACAACACAACTTAATTTTCAAAGTGTGTATTTGAATCAAATTTCTAGTTTGGCATCCCCTCACAAATCAGTTATGATAGGTTAAGTTTTCCTCAATTAAGTGGATTTAACATATTTGAATAGTAAATCACTTCCATACTCTTTTTGTTGTTGGTAAGTGCTATTGAGTGGGTTCTGACCCGTAGCGACCCTGTGTAGGGTTTCTGAGGAGTGTCTGGTGTGCTTGAACCACCGACTTTGCAGTCCAGCACATTAATCCACAATGCCACACTAGGACTCCTCCCTACTCTTAAACACCAACAAATAAGAATTGTGATTTTTTTTCCCCAAACACAACAATAAATGTCTTTATTTCACCCCTAGCAAAGACATTTAAAATATTGATAATGGAGTCCTAGTGTGATGCTATAGAATAGGCACTGGACTGCTAACTACAAGGTTCACAGTTCAAACTCACCAGCCTCGCCTCAGAAATCCTATACAGGGTTGTTATGAGTCAAACTGACTCCATGACACTTTACAACAACAAAGGAAAATAAAACAGTCTGTTAAAAAATTAGAATGTTAAATGAAGGGCTGAATTTGTTTTCTCTTACCAATGCCTATTTATCTTGTGGTATTCTCAAAACATCAAACTCTCTTAAAAAAATTCATTCTCAGAACTAATTTTTTTTAGCTGTTAATTAATTCCGTTATTTCTTTAGTCACTCTATGGTTTAATATATGGATAAATATTTTCCTGAAGGTTTTTTTTTTTTTTTTTTTCACTTATTGTCTTTTTGGATTAACTGTAATATTTTGTAGTTTCTACTTGAATTAAATTCAGATGTATTAAAATCTCTAATTGGATGGGATTAATAAGATAAATGTTTCATATAAATTAGAAAACAACGTAAGTCTCCTTTGTTATTTTTTAAACCCAGATTCAAAAAAAGTAGTCTTTTCAAAACAAGATGTGAAAAAGGACACAATTACGCATTATAGGATCAATAATTTGGGTTATTATTCTTACATAATTTTTTCTTGAAAAATAACAGATATCCAAATATTTGAGAAAGTGTGCATGGCAGTGCTCCCTCTAAATTCTTTGTATTTTTTCCCCCATTTCCAGTCTGTAAGAAGTGAAGTTGGTAGTTTTGTAATCCTCTAGTAAGTTTTTCTGTGGGAGAAAGATGAGGCTTTCTGCTCCACAAAGATTTTAAAAGCCTCAAAACCCTTTCCAGGGTCGCTATGAATCGGAACCTATTTGAAGGCACTTAACAATAACAATATTTTTTCTTAATGTAAACATTATGTGACTATACCCATGTTGTTATTGTTGTTGTTCTGTGCCATGGAGTCGGTTCCGACTCATAGCGACCCTGGACAGGGTTTCAGAGCCTGTAAATTTTTTTTTTTTAATGTTTTATTGTGAGTTATGTGATAGTTTACATGGGAAAACATTAGTTTTACATTCATCCTATCGCAAATATCGTTTCATTGCCATGGTTACAATCCCCTCCATGCATCATCGACCAACCAAAGGGTATATCCTGCAAGCCTGCCACCCGGTCGGTCGTCAGCACCAAGCCCCTCTCCCTCTCTGGGTCTAATGTTCCAGTCGCCCCATCTCTCCATGTCATCATCTCTGCCTCCATCTCTGGCGTCACTGCTTTTCTGAGTAAGGTACCATTCTCCACTCTTCTCCCTTGATGGTCCCAGAGACCTCCACTCCTAGACTGCAAAGTTAATCACTCCCCTCCTTGCTACAAAACGTCCACCTTCATATTTCCAACCCTCACAATCAGTCCTGATAACAATTATTCACTATTGTATCACAAGAGACCTATCCGCATTTCCTTTCATCAGCCCAGCCTAGACAGATGGGATACTACTCAGTGGAGACTTTACCTTCCTCCACACCCTCTGGATCTATGTTCCACTTGAAAGCTTGTATGCCAGTCACTTCTTGCCTTTGAAGCCCGCCCCCCCAACCCCCCGCCCATTTTGGGTAACCAATGTCTAAGTTGTGGATCCTTGTCTACTCTGTATATAGAGGGGAAGCTGTAAATCTTTAACGTAGCAGAAAGACTCACTCATCTTTCTCCTGCAGAACAACTGGTAGTTTCGAACTGGTGATCCGTAAGATTAGCAGCCCTATCCGTAACCGCTACACTACCAGCACTCCTATAAAAGTACTAATTCATGTTTTTAATACATGCTGCTTTTAATACAAATATAAAATAAATCTTAAAAAAAAGAGACCGGTTGTAACACTGCCACTTAATCTTTGTGCTTATAGATTGTTGTTGTTAGGTGCCGTCGAGTCGGTTCTGACCCATAGTGACCCTGTATAGGGTTTTCGATGAGTGACTGGTGGATTTGAACCGCCGGCCTTGTGGTTCAAACTGGCTTTGCGGTCCTGCGCATTATCCTGAAGCCCCACTTGTTTATTTTCATTTTCTTCCCTCAGGCTAAAAAGAATTCCGAAATTGTTAGCTTAGTTTTTGCTTGGTAAGGAGGTTCCCCAATGTATTTACTAAGGAAAGACCGTGGTGTTCATGACCCTATGATGTACAGAAAGTGTTTAGTTAGCAGTATCATGTGGTTTGACTCATACTTATAATTTCAAACCAGAACAACTGTGGCAACATAGCTAAGCTACAAAAACAGAACGAAACTTAAACAAAAACTTTTGACTATACTTTTAGCATAATTATTATGATGGAATGCATTCTGTTTATTCAACATTTGGTCTACTTTCACGTATAAAGCTTCATGCTTTCATTAGACAGCTAGTAAAGTCATTAGTACTATTTATTCTTGCTGGAAGTAGGAAATAGATGTACAGAGACTAACTCTACAGGAATTCAAACCCTCTGTCAATGAGTAGGAATTAGCAAAGACTACAATGACATTAGATCCCTGGTGTTGCGTTGTGGGTTAATGCACCAAACTGCAAAGCCGTTTGAACTTCAAGGTCAGCGGTTCAAACTCACCAGCTGCTCCGAAACTCTATGTAGGGTCGCTATGGGTCCATCCTCAGAAACTCTATACAGGGTCGCTATGGGTATGGACCGACTCTAGGCACTTCATAACAACAACAACAACAACACTATAGTATTGAAAATCTAGAGACCAAGTTTAAGACTACATTAAATTATTATAAGAAAATAAAGTTAGAGAAGAATGTGGTATTAAAACATATACACATTTAATTAAACAATGTGCATCAACAGCCACAAATATATAGTTATTCTTTACTATAAGTTTTGCTAACCAAATGATTAACTATTTAATTTCAGCTTTATAGAACTTGCATATGGAAGCATAAGACAGTATTAGTCTTTGCCATAGTCTTGTAGTTTGTTGTGCATGCTTTTAGCCTCCAAGTGCTTTTATCCCATGTTTGTGAAATTTAAGTGTTTTCTGTTGTGTGGATTAATTTCTGTACTAAAATGTAGACACTATGAATCAGACACTTGTCTGTCGTGTATTGGAAACTCAATCAATATTGAATTTAGCAAGATGACATATGAGAAAGGTCTTTGTAAACAGAAATATGTGCTACTTATGTATTCTTATTTGAGAAAAAAGTAAGTATGCATAAGCTAAAGTTGAGACTAAATCCTAACGTATATTTGAAAATGCAAGTATTCTTTCATTTATGTAGGTTGTTTTTATTTTCTTGTAGCATTTTGTACTTACAGTTGATGTGTTTTCTTACATATTCTGTTTTACCACAGATACATATGACATAAAGGTATTCCTTAAGAGTAAAAGTATTTTACTTTGACAAGTGAGCTAAATAAGATCAATTCTCATGTATGAAGGAAATCTGTACAATGAAAAGAAAACTGAATAGTTTTAACTTTATATCTATAAGATGTGAAAGATGAAGAGATGCCATACAAGGTTGCGATGACAAGAGAAAATAAATTCAAATAAAACATTTAAATATTTTCACTATTTGTCATTTGCCTGTAAACAGGTTTTCCTTCAAAGATGTTTATGTAAATTATTTTCTATTTTAAATAAATACATATTTTATAATATAAACTGTTTTATATTTTAATGTACATCTTTATAGTAGGAAAACAAAAATAACATTTTGAACTCAAGCATATCAGTCCACTCTTTTCATATCAAGTGTTCTTATAACTCTTTTTTCTTATATTTCTTTTCTCTAATATTTGATCCCTCAGAAAAGATTTCTACATATGGTAATGTAGTAACATTGCTAATATATTTATGGGTAAGATACAATTTTAACAGACTTGACATTTTTCAGGGAAAATGTGTGAATCATCAGTTAATTACTGTGAATGCAACCCCTGCTTTAATGGTGGTTCCTGCCAAAGTGGTGTTGATTCCTACTATTGCCATTGTCCATTTGGTGAGTATAAAATTATGTTTAGTTGTTGATGTAAACTATAAATCTACTTACCACTCAATGTAGTAGTTTTGTTACATTGTGGCTATGAGTGATTTAACAAACATTATTTTTCATTGTAGGTGTTAGTAAAATAAAATCTTATAGGTTTAACCTTAAAAAAGCTAATGATAGGACATTTATTTTATATACTATGTTGCTCCTTACAAGAAATATAAGCATCCCAAGATAACTTAATGATTTTGATGTCATCTTCCCAGATTATTTACACTCATAGGTTTATGGATTATTTTAGCCTGTGTGTGTTGGGTGCTGTGGACTCGATGCCAACTCATAGTGACCCTATATAACAAAGCAAAACTACCTCATAGAGTTTCCTCAGCTGCAGTGTTTATAGGTGTAGATTGCCAGGATTTCTGTCTCTCAATGCCAATAGTGGATTGGAAAAGCTAACTTTTTGTTAGTAGCCATGCACTTTATCATGGCATTCATCAAAACAAAGCAAGCAAAAAACCATTGCCATTGATTGGATTCCTATTCATCTCCACCCTGTTGTTGTTGTTGTTGTTGTTGTTAAGAGCTATTGCGTCAGTTCCGGCCCATAGTGACCTTGTATAGGGTTTCCCAGGAGCAGTTGGTTAGCTTAAACCGCCAACATTGCAGTTCAAATGACTTTTAAGTCTGGCGCATTACCACACAGCACCACACCAGAACAGAGTAAACCTCTCCTAGAGGCTTTTCAAGGCTGCAAATTTTAACTGAAGCATAATGTTACATCTTTCTCCTGCAGAGAAACTAAGTTGGTTCAAAATAATGACCTTTTAGTTAACAGCTGAGTGGTTACGCACTATACTATCAAGCGTACTGTAGGCACTACTTGAAATGACTCTATATTGCAAGATTTAAGAATTGTGAGTTGCAGGTATGTTTTTTTTTTTTTTTTACATTCGTTTATAATTCACTTTCTAGACACTGCAGATTTTATAATTGGCTTTTTCTAGGACATACAACATATCTGGTGTGGTGCTATAGAATAAGCACTAACCAAAATATTGGCAGTTCAAACATACCAACCATTCTTTGGGAACCCTATACAGGAGTGCTGTCAGTTTGAACCAACTCGACGGCACTTAACAACAACAACAATACAAATGCAGACCTCTGTGTTCTTCTGAGGAAGTGTTGTTAATAAGAACTTTTCATAGTCCCTGGTGTGGCACTGTGGGTTAATGCGCCAGACTGCAAAAGCCTTTTGGACTGCAGGTCGGTGGTTCAAGCTCACCAGTTGCTCCTCAGAAACCCTATACAGGGTCGGAATTGACTCGACGGCACTTAACAACAACTTATCTATTGACCTTAGTCAAGTGAGCTAAAGAATTTCTTCCCGGCCTCAGTTAAATACAATGCAATGCTGATCCAGCCAAGGACTGTGAGAAACTTTGGATGAACTTTTGAATTTTAACTTACTGTGCTTTGTAAGTCTGTCATTTATTTGAAGGTTGTGTTACCCTACTGCATAATATTTATTTCCATATATCTTGAAGTAGTCAAAGTTTATCTTTGTTTTTCTCCTTGGTCGTGGTTGTGTGCTGTGGAGTCAGTGACTCATAGTGACCCAGTATAGAGTTTCCAAGGCTGTAAATCTTTATGAGAACAGAAAGCCTCATCTTTCTTCCAAGGAAAGGCTAGTAGTTTTGAACTGCTGACCTTGAGTTTAGCATCCCAACTCATAACTACTACACTACCAGAGAATAAAATAATATATTTCTAGTTTCTCCTTGAGCATATTACTATGATGTATGTACCTGCAAAGTGAAGCTTATTTTGTAGAACAGAGTAGAACTTAAAAGGAATTTGAGATAATTAATATTTGTTGTTGTTATTAAGTGCCTCTGACTCAGTTCCTACTCATAGCAATCATGTATTGGATTTCCAAAGAGCAGCTGGTGAATTTGAACTGCTGAACTTGTGATCCAGTGCATAATCCCACAGTGCCACATCAGGATTGCATATATATACTTATTATTTTTGTTTTAGTTAAGTACAGCATAAATGGAATGATCAAGATGAAGAGACTAAAAAAGCATTCAATTTTGAGTCATATATGTTGCCATTAGCTCTGAGGTCCAGAAATTAAGTGATTTGCAAAGGTCAGAAAGTCACCTCAAAATGAAACAAAAATAACCCATGATGAGCTAATGACTAGAACATAAATTTTATTCTCACACCAATATGTCTTTCATAGTGTCTTTCTTTTAACAAAATATTTTGAGATACCCGTTAACAATGCCCATAAAAATGTGACATATCAGTTAAGCTCAAAGTTACCAAGATTTAGATCTCTAAAACTTCTCCTTTATTTCAAAGATCCCTTCAGCTCTTAACTGGCACTGCTGTGTATAGATATCTTGTTAGGTTTCATGGATTAATGTGTTTGGGAATCAAAAAAAGGGGATTGGAATGGAAAATGATGTTTCAAATAACTGAACAGAGATGTTTATATTTTTTAAGGATTCCTTTGCATTCCAGCTATAAATATTTGGTTTTACAGAAATTAATAGCAAATAGGAGCAAATTGCCACTGCAGTTTAGGCGGCACTGCATTCCTTGCCTGTTGTGGGGGAGGTGCTGATGGGTTAAAATGAGCCTTCATCCTAGCCAGATATTCCTAGGGGAAGCAGAATAGTACAGCAATGTAAATTAAAATAGAAGTAGATTACATGTGGCTAGCGGGCACTACATATCTCTCCCCCTAGTCCATCCAGTGGCAAAGACAAAACCTTTATTTACGCTTAGACATTTTGTTGTTAAGTGCTGCGAAGTAAGTTCCCATAATTAGAGTTACGACCCAGTATAAGGTTTTGGAAGAGCTGCTGATGGGTTTAAACCACTGATTTTGTGCTTATCCTAGTGAGCCACATAACTCCCCTAGGCATTGTTTGTTCACAACAAAAGCCCTGAAAAGGTGAAGCAAACAAAAACATCTTGAGATGATAATATACAATTAGTGACTGGTGGTGGTGGTTATGTGCCATGGATCACAGCGACCCTGTACAGGGTTTCCAAGGCTGTAAATCTTTACGGGAGCAGAAAGCTTCATCTTTCTCCCGCGGAACAGCTGGTAGTTTCGAACTGCTGACCTTGCAGCTCGCAGCCCGATTCGTAACCACTACGCTGTCAGAGCTCCTTCAGTTTGTAACTAGAGAATTAAAAATATTCTCCTTCTCAAACTAATGTGTGTGGGGGAAAGCATACCAATAAACATGGCAGTAGGAATGGATCACATAAATACCTGTAGGAAGCTAGTCAATGTTCATAAAATTTTAACTATAATTTTATATTTGGAAAAAATGTGTACTATTTACCTCCTCATTTCTCATTTACCTCTCATCAGCAGGAATGTTTGCTGCTTGGATTAAAAAATAATAATTTTGGGGAGGGGTTTCTCTATGAAAAACATAATGTGTTTCAGATTTGAAAAAGTCTAGATAATCATCACTTTCAGAAATTGATTTCATAGTGTTAACAGATGTACATGTCGAAAGTATCTCATTTCCTTTTTTATTTATAATTTTACTTAGATTTATTTCATGGCATTTCATTTAGAGGACAGTTTGAACATTCCAATTAAATTTTATTGAAATTTTCTTCATATTTCGGAGAAAAAGAACCCTGGTGGCGCAGTGGTCAAGCACTTGGCTGCTAAATGAGAGGCTGGAAGTTGAACGTACCAGCCACTGCAGGAGTAAGATGTGGCAGCCTGTTTCTGTGAAGATCACAGCCTTGAAAACTCTATGGGGCAGTTCTGCTCTGGTCTATAAAGAATGCTATGAGTTGGAATCTACTCGGTGGTAGTGGGTTTGAAAGAAAAAACACTGCTTTCTGCAAAATAACAATGAAAACTTATAAGAGGAGAAAAAAAAGTCCATCAGAAAGCATTTCATGTTTGAAAATATATTAACAATTTAATGAAATATAAAGCACATTTTAGTGTCTATCTAAGTATATGTTGTTGTTATGTCAAAATAAACTGAGAAAACACACAATATAAATTCTTCAATACTTTTTCTGTTTTATTTGTATGCTTTATCTTAGCCTTTTCTTTAATGCCAGTTAAAGATTTTTAAAGTCAATAGTATGTATATATAGATAATAAATATATAAAGTACAAATAAACATACTCTTTATTATATACAAACATAAATTTGACAAAAGTAAATGCTAGAATGGAATGTAGGAAATATAATAATATAAGTTACATGTAATGTATTTATAATATATAAAATATAGTAAATAGGTAGTAGGAGATGCATCACAAAATTCATGGAAAATGGAATTAAAACACAATTGGAATTATACCATGAACTTTTGAAGTTACCTTGAATATAAAAATATCTATCATATTTAATTTATTTGCCTTTTCCTTAACTTCTGTTAAAAATTTTTAACAGAATAAGCACTTGACCTCCAGGTCACAGGATAAGCCACAGGATAAGCACTTGACCTCAGGGTCGGTTTGAACTGCTGAAATGTCAGTGGTTCAAACTCACTACTTGCTCCTCAGAAACTCTATACGAGTCTCTATGAGTTGGAACCAAAATTATGGTACTTTGCAACCATCGTGAAGTACCGCGGATTCGGTTTAGACTCATAGTGACCCTGTACAAGCTTTCCAAGGCTGTGAATCTTTACGGGAGCAGAAAGCCTCATCTTTCTCCCGCGGAACAGCTGGTAGTTTCAAGATGCTGACCTTAAGATTTGCAGCTCAATTCATAACAACTGCATTAATAGTATATATATATATATGTTGTTGAATGCCATATAAACCCTAAACCCTATATGGAACCCATTCATAGTGACCCTGTACAGGGTTTCTGAGGTGACTTTGAACTGCCAACCTTGTGGTTTGCTTTCCAGTGCTGATCCTCCAGTGCCACACTATGTCTATATGTATCTATATATGGAGTCCTGATGTGGTGCTGCTGATTCATGTACTGGACTGCAAGGTCGACGTTTTAAGCTGACCCTCTGCTGCTTGGAAACCCTATACAGGGTCGTTATGGGGCGGAACCGACTGGATGGCACTTAATAACAACAACATATCTCTATCTATCTATCTATCTATCTATCTATCTATCTATCTATCTAACATCTATCTATCTATTTATCTATCTTTCTATCTAATGCATAGTCTTTCACTTTAAGTCACCTAGTATAATAATAACCTCGGAAAACAAATGAACCACTTTTAAAAACATAAACGAGGATATATAGTGAGTAATATCGCAGTCTCTACATTGTGATGATCACTGTTTCACTGTTTTGTTGTTAAGTGCCCTCCAGTGGGTACTGACACATAGTAACGCTGTATAGTGTTTCTGAGGAGCAGCTGGTGACTTTGAGCCTCTGACTTTCAATCCAGTACTTATCCTAAAGGCTACATGTGTACACCAATGATCACTATTGTTGTTGTTGTTATATGCTGTTGAGTTGGTTCTGACTCATAGCTATCTTGTATAGGGTTTCCGACAAGCAGCTGGTGAGCTTGAACCGCCAAGCTTGAGATTCAAGCTGACCTTGCAGTCCAGAGTATTAACACACAGCACCACACCAAGATTCCGATGATCACTATAAAGTCAGTTTAAAAGGAAAATATAAAGGAATAAAACTTTTGTAGAGGTACTAGACCATTTTGATTCCAAGAAAATCAGCATGTAAAATATTCTATAGTTAAGATTATAAGAGTAAATTTTGAGTGTCTCTGATAATTCTGTGACCTTGGCACATTTCAGTTTTTGGAAAATTATGACATAGATTCCTTGTAGCTAAACAATTCCCTGATTCTAAATATAATATATCTGCAAGAGAAGTACAGCCAAAATTAAGGAACAAGATAGTTTTGAGTTAATAAGAATCACGATGTTTTGGCCCTGGTTAATTTTTCCAATCATTTGACACAGTCTACTAATATTTGTGGGAAAAGAATTTTGGCATAGTATTATTATAACATCAATAAAACTCATTTTTCACATTTGAAAAGGAACCAGCACAAACAAGTGGGAATGCTGGATTTCAAAAAAACAGAAAGCTATTTTGAAGTAGCAAGCAGTAAATCATCATATCCACAGAGGTATAAAGCAAGAAAGATATAAAAATATAACAATTATTTTCTTACCTAAAAGCACTGATTATCTTTCCTAATTTTATGGCTCTTAAAAATATCACGAGTACAGGCACAAATTATTTAAAAGTCCAAATAAAGTTTGTTTCCTTCCATTACAATAAATTTTTTATTTTAAGGATCATATATTGTGAAGAAGTTTTTTCAGTTGAAAAGTCTAGCATATGAAAACTATAAAGATTGACAAACGGGCTTTGGATTTTTTTAAACAAAGAAAGCTATTCAGATGTACTTTATTCCCCTAAATCGGTACTTTTTACAAATGGGATATACTTAGGTATGTTCCCTAATTGACTAAAGAAAAACAACCACATTGATTTATCATGTCTGTGGTATGCACAAAAGATACTAATTTTATAGTATTTCAATTTTATGCTATATGGTATTCTTTAGGAAATCATTTTTTCTCAAAAGTTATTAAAAGCATGACTTAGTATTGTTGTGACTTTAAATGTTTCTTTTCAGTATTTGAATCCAACTTATTTAATAAAATTTACCTGGAATTCGATATGTTAATTTGTTAATTTTCCCATCTATAGGTGTCTTTGGAAAACACTGCGAGTTGAATAGCTATGGATTTGAGGAATTATCATTCATGGAGTTTCCTAGTTTGGACCCCAATAATAACTATATTTATGTTAAATTTGCAACCATTAAAAGCCATGCTTTATTGCTTTACAACTTTGACAACCAAACAGGAGACCGAGCTGAATTTCTGGCTCTTGAAATTGCTGAAGAAAGATTAAGATTCTCTTATAATATAGGCAGTGGTACATATAAACTCACCACAATGAAGAAGGTGTCAGATGGACATTTTCATACTGCAATTGCACGGAGAGCAGGAATGGTAAGACATCTAACGATAAGACATTTAATTCCAAATTAAAACTTGTTTTATTATTGTTGTTTATTCTGCCTGCTAGGCCTTCAGGTGAAGCATGAATTGAAAGGCAAATAGAGTTACATTTTAAAAATCCATTGTTTTGACAATTTTGGTGAAAATGGTTCTTTTTTGTTGTAGTTATTCTTCTTATTATTGTTGGTTGCTGTCAAGCTGGCCCCTGTCTCAAGGCAACACTTGTGTTACAGAGTAGGGTAGGAAGCAGTTTGAAAGCTCACTCTTCCATTTGCCAACTTTTAGGTTAACAGCACATCACCATTTGCTCATGGCTTCCAGACTCCTTGCTAATTACTACATGGCATATAGCTGATATTTTAATTTTGCTCATGACAACTGTGCTGTTGGGTCACATACAGTAGAAGGGAAACATTAAAATAAAATTGCCTGGTGCATAAGAATTTCATTGATGTTTCCTGTATATTTTTAGTGTGATGTGAGGACTCTAAAATGGCTACTTTTCTTTCCTAAGTATTTCTGCACTTACTGAAGAAGCAATTTAAGAACAAGGGGAAAACTCTCCTGTGAACAAATTTCTGACAAAAGAAATGATAGTTCACATAACTTAGTTCTTGTTGTTGTTGTTAAGCATCATGGAGTTGGATCTGACTCATAGTGATCCTGCATTCTTAGTAGTGTTTATTCTGCCATAACTTTATAAAGTATCATTTGTGAGGCTTATGACATGAGACTGTGTCAGAATTACAATTTATGTTTTGACTGTCCTCATTGTAAACTCAGAATTACAACTCCATACTTCTCTAAATTCTCATACTATAGTCCGTTTTTTATTGATCTCATATGGTAACAAATATGGTACATATTTTTTGGAGTTGTGTTTATTGAACAAATATTTTTACTTATAAAAGAGAAATGCATCATATCTTTTCATATTAATGGTTCATAACATTTGACATCAATGTTAATAGGATGAAAGGGTGCATTTATTTGTTTATTCATTTATATTCCCAAATCTTTTTCTACAGTTGTCCTCATCACCAACAACCATCAAGAATTTTTGCATAAGCATATGCTAACAAAAAACATCTTACAATATATCTGGATTTTAATACAGACTTTGAAAATCAAATTGTCTTTAAGATTTTAATGTTTCAACTCCCCCCCCCCAGTTATACACTAAAATAAAAATTAGTCAAAATGACAAAATACGTACTCAGAAATACTTTTTGTTACATAGAAAAGCCTAGTACATACGTGATTATACCTATATCTATAAATTCCATGACAATCTAGAAAAAAAAATATATAGTACTATATATTTTTTTGAGCATACATTTGTCTGAAAAGGCATTTATTTTTACTGCTAATTTTTCAGAATAATTTATACTGTTGAACCACATGTAAGCAACATCCAGTTATAATATTTAAATGTTTTTGCTATGATTAGTTCTTTTTCTCTTGCCCATAGCTAATTTTCAATGTAAGATTTTATATCTATATTAAAAATTTTCATAAAGGAGTAAGATCAAAGCTGTATTACATTGATGGATTTTATCTGACCTGTATGGATAATAGGCAATCTTTGTCAAAGGACAAAATTCTGCATTGCCTTTTAGGAATTTTAAAATGTGCATTTGTATTGAAAAATATGAAATACAATGATTTTTCCTCTTTACTCCAATACAATACAACATTTATAGGACTTGGGCACATTTTAAAAACTCTCTACTTTGAAACTACCAGCTGTTCCGTGGGAGAAAGATGAGGTGTTCTGCTCCCGTAAAGATTTACAGCCTCGGAAACCCTGTACAGGGTCGCTATGAGTCGGAACAGGCTCCACGGCACATAACAACAACAACAACAACAACAACTTCCAATTATGAGGGAGTAGAAAAATGATTAAATATGACCAAGTGATTGTGTACTCAAGATCAAGGTGATCTTAAGGTTGTTATTTGACAAACAGTTGATTCTCACTCATGGTGACCCCATAGTAAGGCGTTCAGTAGGGTTTTCAAGTCTAGGACCTTTTGGAAGCAAATCTCAAGGACTATTGTTCCATGCCTCTATATTGATTCTAACTGCCAACTTTTTCATTAGAAGCCAAGTGCGTAACCTTTTGCACCACTATGGCTCTTTGGGATATATAGATTTGGGCTTAAGTTAATCATAATTTCTTAATAAAATGAGGAAAGTCTAATGAGGGGTAGTCGGTATGACCAGTTCTTCCAGCATACGTGAAATTATCATAGGCCTTAGATACTGTCAATACAACTCTTATGTAGAATAGAGGATGCTATGTGATCATCTCCAAGGTTCCTCTAAAGTTCAAAGACATTTGAGTTTTTCAGACAATCACTTGTGACCAAGATGGAGAGTAAAATAGGTACTATGAGAGGCCAGAAGTAATACACAAATGATTTTTACAGTCTATTTGTAATACGTGGCTTTAGTCATCAAAATTTCAAAAAATATAAAATATGGAGAAGAACAACTTGTCATAAGTACTTCTGTCATAGGAAAAAATGCCTCCCTGTTTCAGGAAAGCATTCCAAAATAAATTCCCTACTGCATTTTGAATCTTCATTTTCTACAGTTCAAAAGGATTTTGTTGGAAACTGGTAAAGCAATTAACTTCTTAGCTTTGAATTCTTGCATAGATAAGATAGAAACATTTTAATTTGAAGAGGCAGTGGTAGAAAAATTCAGCAGTAAAAGAAGAAAAATGTAACTGCAAAGATTAAATTGCATGAACAATTCAAAAAATGACTTCCTCAGGTATCGTTTCCTTTGATTGATCTGTGTTACCAAGCTTGTAGAATATAAGAAAGAAAAATTAAATATAAGATTGATTGAAATGTAATAATATATTTATACTATTATTTTTAAGTTTTGTTAATTGTTGAAGCATTCATAAATATCCATGTGATACTGTCTGGTTTGTGTTAGCTTTAGAAAAAATATAATGGAGACTTCATGCCAGTGTATATAGAGAGGACTGTATTAAAATTTGTTTCAGAAACAGATTTAAAAATTGTTCTTAAATCAAATAATCCACATAAACATTATAAATTGTATCATGATAGCCTAACACTGTCTTTGAAATTAAATGTCATTCAGTTTTAGAGCTCACTGGTGCCGGGGTGGGGGTGGGGACAGGGGAATGCAATATTTATTGAAAGGTTTATCTAAATAGGTTGGGAGTAAGACATAGAATTGGAAGTGTAAGTGTTTTTTTAAAAATATTAGGATTTATTGTAATTTACTTGAGTAGATAGCCAGAAAAGTGTACACAATGAATTATGGAGTTTGTGATAATATGTTGATAAAATTATTTTCAATTCTTTTTACCAAGTAATATCTGTTGCTCAATAACTATAAATCAACTCCATGGATTATTTCTGAAATGTGAAATATTTAAGATATACTTCTATAAATCTCCCATCTCAATATATATTTTTATGAGAAATCATTAAAAATTATATATTGATGAAGATTGGAGTCAAAAGAAATTAATCATTTCCATCCATAATGAAAGTGACCTAATTCTGGAACACAGAAAAATTGGTAACTATTCTCTTTCCAAGTAAGTGAGGTAATAATGTTAGTCAACTTGATTAACCTCCTAGTGCTATGTTGCCTACATTTACATTGTTCTTGTTAAAATTAATCTCACATGAGAAACATTCTGATAAATGAATGCAAGCATAATATTTATCATTTGATTGTAGTAATGTAGCAGCATTAAAAGAACCCTGTTCCATGGCATTTATATGCACCTAAATATAATCCTTTTTTATTGTGTGGAGTCCTGGTGTGGCACTGTGGGTTAATGTGCCAGACTGCAAATCTGTTCAAACTGCAAGGTTGGCGGTTCAAGCTCACCAGCTGTTCCTTGAAAACTCTATACAGGATTGCTACGGGTTGGAACTGACTTGACGGCACATAACAACAACAATAAAATATAATCTTTTATCTACCTAAATCCTTCATTGATTCTGAATTTTGGATTATCTTTCTTCTCATGATTTTTAGTCATATTCTCAAATACAACACTCCAAATATCATCCTTAAAATTTCAATTCCTTGTATACACCAAGTTTTTTCATTTACTAAGTGTTTGAGGAACGAAGGAAGGATAACCTTACAACATTGCTGGCTACACCAGAACTTTAGTACTGAACCCCATCTCAGAGATACTCAATTGCCTTTATGCAAAGTGTTGTTAAGTGCTGTTGGGTCATTCCAAGAAGTGGCTGGTGAGCTTAAGCCGTCGAACTTGCAGATCAAACCAACCTTGTGGCCCAGTGCTTATCCTATAGTACCAAACTAGGACTGAAGTCTATAACTTTTTTTCCATTTGTTAATCAATTTATGACTTCATTTATTGTTCAAATGGAGTATGGATGTGTTCTACTATGCAAAATAATGATAAATTCTATTAATTTCAGTTTAAATATGATTTAAAGAGTTTCTGCTTTATGGAACTATTTAATAATATATTCTGATTATACAGAAATATGCTGTAGTATATTATTTAAATATAATGACTCATACATGGGAAAAAAAACCAAAACTTTACCGCTACCATTATCTTTAAGGCGAATACAAATTTTACAGCCTTCATATTGTTGTTCTTAAGTGTCATCAAGTCGCTTCTGACTCATAGCATACCTGTATAAAGTTTTCAAGGACTGGCTGGTGGATTTGAACTGCCAACCAGTGCTTATCCTACAATACCACACCAGGACTCTGAAAATCTTCGTAGTTTGTAATAGTATATATGCTCTGCTTTCATAGTATTTTATAAATGAGGATGAAATATTATAGAAACTTAAGTTTTGAAAATCAAATATCAAATGTTTTTTCATTTTTTTAGAATGACTGGATAGTAGAATAAACATGTTTCTTAAAGTTGTAACCCCAGAAAGAAGTTCCAGATTAGCTGTCTGATGTTTTATGGGTAGTGAATGACACTAACCTGCTGGTGTGGCACTGTAGGATAAGCTCTGGACTGTGAACCACAGGTCAGCAGTTCAAACCCACCAGTAGCTCCTCAGAAACCCTGTAGAGGGTAGCTATGAGTCCGACTTGATGGCAATTAATAACCATAATGACATTTTAATACATTCATCTATAAAAGAAGATTTCTGGAAAATATTTTTCCAAGAGCTCTCCAACCTATTAAAAAATATAAAATGTCACAACTGTAATTCTAGACATCACTAAGAAATATGGAGTCCAAAAAGCTAATGTACTCTATGACTAACCAAGAGAATCGAGTCCAACCAGTTGTGATTTGGAAGAAAGTCCTAGCAGTTTGCTTCAAAATTCCCAGTCATTGAAAACCCTTAGGAGAACAGATCTACTCTAATTCACATGGGTTATCATAAGTTTCAGTTGACTTGATGGCAACAGTTTTGTTTTGTTTTTAAAGGAGTATGACCTCAAAAGTTGTTATTGTAAAGTAGTTACATTATTTGTATGCATTATATATATGTTGTTGTTGTTGTTAAGTGCCATGGAGTCAGTCGTAACTCATAACGACCCTGTATAGGGTTTCCGAGGAATAGCTGGTGTGTTGAACCGCCGACCTTATTTCAAACTGACCTTGTCCAGTGCATTATCCTGCATTACCACACCAGCATTCTGATTATACATATACACACACATATATATGTATATCATGATACATTAAATCAAAATGTTACCAAATTTTTAATAATCATGTGTGCATAGACACAAATCCTGGGTGGTATTGATAGAAAAGTGTAATAGTGACAGTATGACTCAAAGTGAACATTTTCTTCTCCTGCTTTGTAGGCAGCCTCCTTAACTGTAGACTCTTGTTCTGAAAACCAAGAACCAGGATATTGCACTGTTAGTAATGTGGCAGTTTCAGATGACTGGTAAGCAAAATTACTAGTGTATTCTTTATTATTGCTTGAAATTAAAAAGGAAATTATTCATTTAAAATAATTATAGTATGCACATGTTATACAATATAAACAGTACCCAGGTTATGAACAAAAGGTCTGTTCTTAAGTGTGTCTTTAAGTCAAATTTGTAGGTAAGTCAGAATAGGTGTACCCAGTCCTTATTTTGCCTTATTTTAGTGCAAGATTTAAATGATAATTGAAAACTGTGCATGCAGCAAGTAAAGGTGATAGTGGAAGGATTTGTTGTGAGTAAGGGTTGGTTGAAACTATTCCAAGTGAGGGCAAATTTACATAGCATTAATGGGCAACTAGGAATTTCCTATAAGTCAAACATTTGTAACCCAGGAACTTACTGTAACTTGTTTTCCCAAAAGGGATTCTCATACTAAAAAATAAAAGTAGTTTTAATTAATACATAAATATGATGTAAAATGAGTGTGAAATGAAGTAGTAAAGGTAAGGATAAAACCAGAGAAAGAAAAGTTTAGTGTACCCTGTATTCTTTGGAAAATATGAAATAGTTGAATGTGACCTGAATCCTGAAAAAAAGATAGAGTAAGGATACTGATTCTTTAAACCTCATTCTCTGAAGTTTTATATAACAATGATTAACAGATATAATTTGATAGCACCTAAAATTGAACCACAGCAATAGCCAATCTAAAGCATAATGGAAAAACAGAAACAACAATAGAAACATATCATCCACCACATGAATCAACTTAGTGGCATCCTTATCAGACCTGTACTGAAGGAATGATATAATCTGACTCACTTTTAGAATTGTCACTTCTTCTATCATTATCCAATATTGCTCAATAAATCTAATTTGACTAACTAGAAATATTATTTCCATAAGTTTTATTATTTTGTGTACTTTGAAAAGATCTAGCAACTTTTTAGTTATCTGTTATAAAAAAACACATGAGTTGATATATTGTCTTTTCTATCCAAATTTACCATGCTATAATATATGTCAAAGATTTAGATTCACTCTAATTTAAAATCCTACTGAATCTTTGAGTTGATGCTAATATATTTATTTATCTTTCCTCTCTTTTTTAGGACTCTTGATGTTCAGCCAAATCGAGTCACAGTTGGAGGTATCAGATCACTAGAACCGATCCTGCAGAGAAGAGGACATGTAGAAAGCCACGATTTTGTTGGGTGTATAATGGAGTTTGCGGTCAATGGAAGACCTTTGGAACCCAGCCAAGCTTTGGCAGCACAAGGCATCCTAGATCAGTAGGACAACTTCATTTGTTACTATTTTTAAATAACATACATCAAGTGTACGAAAATAGAATATCAAAGATAAAAAATGTTTGGTGTCTGACAAGCATTACAAAATACCAAATGTGAGACATAGCTTTAGATTTTAAATATTTATTTATCACTGATTTTTTTTTGGCACAAATTGCAATATTTAATTAGAAAATGATGTTTTTCTTTTCTGAAGTATTTCTCTCTCTGTATCACACACACACACACACACACACACACACTCACACATGCATGTATATACTGTTGTTAAGTGCCCTCGAGTTGGTTCCCACGCATAGTGACCCTGGTTTCCAAGGAGCAACTGGTGAGCTTGAACTACTGGCCTTGTGGTTCAAGCCGACCTTGCAATCCAGCATATTCACCCTCAGTGCCACACCAGGACCCCCCCCCCCCCCACACACACGTATATGGTGGTGGTGGTGGTTATGTGCCTGGAGTCGATTCCGACTCATAGCGACCCTGTACAGGGTTTCCGAGGCTATAAATCTTTACGGGAGCAGAAAGCACCATCTTTCTCCTGCAGAACAGCTAGTAGTTTTGAACTGCTGACCTTAAGGTTCACAGCCCAATTCATAACCACTACGCTACCAGAGCTCCATATATATATACACTATTGTTAGATGCCATTGAGGCGATTCCAACTCATAGCTACACTATGCACAACATAATGAAACACTGCCCGATCCTGCACCACCCTCACAATTGTTATGTTTGAGCCCATTATTGTTGCTAATGTGTGGCTCCATAGATTTTCTTAGTGCAATATTTTGTTTGATTTCTTAACTGAGCATTGACTGAACTCAAGCAAATTGAAGTCTTTGACAACTTCAATGTTTGCTGGATTTAAAATGATGTTAGTTTTTGTCCAGTTATGAGAATTTATATTGTCTTTATATTGAGGTACAATCAATAAGGAGGCTATAGTGTTTAATAATCATCAGTAAGTATTTTAAATCCTTCTCACTTCCAACAAACAAGATTGTGATTGTGTCATCTGCATATTGCAGGTTGATAATAAGTCTTCTTCCAATCTTGATGCCACATTCGTCTTCATATGATCCAGTTCCTTGGATTATTATCCCAGTATACATATGGAATAAATATGGTGAAATGATACAACCCTGGCACACACCTTCCCTAATTTTAAACCATTCACTATCCTCTGTTTTGTTTGAGAGACCTCCTCTTAGTCTTTTTACAGATTTCTTATTAACACAAGTTAAGTGTTCTGGAATTCCCCTTTTTCACATTGTTATCCAGTGTGTTATGATCCACACAGTCAAATGCCTTTGCATAGTCAATAAAGCATAGGTAATCATCTTGTTGGTATTCTCTGCTTTCAGTCAAGATCTATCTGATTTCAAAAATGTTATTCCTCTTTCCATGTCCTCTTCTGAATGTAGCTTGAACTTCTGGAAGCTCTGTATCGATGTGCTACTGCAATAATCTTTTAATTATCTTCAGCAAAATTCTGCTTGTGTGTGATAATAATGGTATTGTTCAATGATTTCCGCATTATGTTTGGTCACCTTTCTTTGGAATGGGCACAGTTTTTTATCTCTTACAGTTGATTGACAAACTGTAGCTATCTTTCAAATATCTTGACGGAGTGAGTACTTTCAGTGTTTCACCAATCTGTTGAAACATTTGCATTTGTATTCCATCAATTCCTGGAAACTTGTTATGCACCAGTGCCCTGAGTGCTGCTTCGATATCTTCTAGTATCATAGGTTATTGATCATATGCTATTTCTTCATCAACCTGTTCTTTTTGGTACAGTAACTCTGTATATCCCTTCTTTTTTTTTTTTTTTGCTGTTTCTTGCATCATTTAATATTTTATCATAAAACCCTTCCAAATTTCAATCTGAGACTTTAATTTTTCCTTCAGTTCTTTCAGCTTGAGATATGCTGAACATGTTCTTCCTTTGGTTTTTGAGCTCCAGATGTTTTTTATTTCATTTTATTATAATATTTTATTTTGTCTTCTCAATCAGCCCATTGAAATTTTCTGTTCAGCTCCTTTACTTTATCATTTATTTCAACTGCTTTAGCTTCTCTAAGCTCAAGAGCAAATTTCAGATTCTCTTCTGACCCCTACTTTGATCTTTTCCTTTATTTCCATCTTTTTAATAATTTTTTGTCTCTTCATATGTGAGGTGTTGATGTCATCTCATAACTCTTCTGATCCATGACCATTTTTATCTGATGCATCAAATCTGTTCTTGATATGGTCTCTAAATTCAGGTGGGATATATGCCAGGTTATATTTTGGCTTTTGTAAAATTGTTTCAATTTTCTTCTGTTTCAGCTTTACCTAGCATATGAGCAATTGATTGTCTGTTTTGGCTGATGATATTGAACTTCACCCTCTCTTCCCACAGATACACTTAAATTTGATTCCTGTGCATTTTATCTAGTGAAGTCCTGGTATATAATTCCTTTTTAAGTTGTTGGAAAAGGTTTTTGTAATGAATAAGTCAGCAACATGTTGTTGTTAAGTGATGTTGAGCTGATTCCAACTCCTAGCAAGGAGCTATAAGTTTATTAGACACAACTGTTAGGTTTGAACCATTGTTTAGCAGTCCTGTACTTACCCTATAGTGCCATACCAGGAGTCTACTATATATATGTCTGTGTGTATGTTTCTATATACATATGTTGTGGTTGTTAAGTGCCATTGACTCAGTTCTGACTCATAGCGATCCTGTATAGGATTTCTGAGGAGTGGCTGGTGAGCTTGAACTGCCAACCTTCCGGTTCAAACCAACCTTGTAGTCCAGTTCATTAACCTGCAGCACCACACGCAGTATATATATGTTGTTTGTTGTTGTTATGTACCATGGATTCAGTTCCGATTCATAGAGACCCTGTACAGGGTTTCCGAGGCTGTAAATCTTTACGGGAGCAGAAAACCTCATCTTTCTCCAGCGGAACAGCTGGTAGTTTCGAACTGCCGTCTCTGAGGTTAGCAGCCCGATTAGTAACCACTACGCTACCAGAGCTCCTTCAGTATATATATATATATATATAGTTAAGTGCCGTCGAGT